TTAAAAGTGATCTAAATTTATTTTAATATTACATACATGTTGTTACACTCCCTAATTACTAACCATAATAATAATTAAATAATTAAACAACTTTACATCCAAGAAACAATTACAAAATAATAAGCAAAATAATTAAATAGCAAAGATAAATAAAATATAAATAAGCAATAATAAATAATAAAGGGGGTTAATTCTAAGTTTACTCGGCAAGACATCGCATCTTGTGCCTACGTATCCTTACGGGAGTGGAATCAGAGTAATCGTAGTTCCCCTCAATAGGGAGGTTAGAAACTTCTTGACTGTGGTCAAGGTCTCAAGGGGAATAAACGCATCTTAAGGACTCGCTTACGTGGAGTGTAGAAACTCCAAATCTCTACGTTGAAATGTTAAGTTGTAATTAGGGTTAAATTAGGGATTCCACGGCGGGAAACCCTAAAAGTGAGCGCGGCGGCTCTTTGACCTAATGCTAAGGGTAAAATTGTAATTTTGCCTGCGGCGAGGCATTTGTGAAAATTAGGGTTTGTAGTTTGTAGTTTTGAGGATTTGAAATTGAATGTGTGAAGTTTTACGGACTATTGGCGCGGCGGCTAAACAGTTAGACCTAACCTTCGGATGTGTGCAATGTGACAGAAATAATAGTAAACGCGTGAGATAATTGAATCATGCAAACAGAGAGATAATGTCATAATTTAAACCATGCAAGCAGAAATTTAAAGGCAGAATTTAAAGAGCGATTGTTAAGTTCGCGAGGTTACATGAGAGGAGCAGATACAATATGATAATGAAATTTGAATTGAACAATAATAAAATAAAATAAATAACGGTTCTAGTTATTATTTTAAAAAAAAGATTTTAGTTATTATTTTAAATTTATCTAAAAAAAAGTTTTTCTTAAAAATAATAGGTTTTCATATTAATTTGGAAAAGATGTTATTGTTATTTATTTTAAAAAACAGATTTTTATATTATAACAAATTTTAATAAATTAATGATAACAATAATAATAATAATGGTAATAATAATGATAATAATGATAATAATAATAAATAATGATAATAATAATAATAATAATAATAATAATAATAATAATAATAATAATAATAATAATAATAATAATAATAATAATAAAGCAATAATGAATTTTAAATGTGCCAAATAACCCAACAATGTTGCTAACGCAGAAATGCGCTCATCGCAACCAGATCTAAATCGGACGAAACAAAATTTATCGCAAAGAAAAAGAAATTAAGCAAAAAATAGTATTATTGCTCACACAAAAATGCGATCATCGCAACCAGATCGAACTAACACAAATGTCACGCGTCATGCACACAAATGTGCAAACATCGTATCGACATAATTCGATCAAAAATCTTATATATATAAACTCTAACAATTTAAAAATTATATATATATAAACGTAACAGTAATAGATAAAGAAAAAGAAATAACGGTAATAGATGAAGAAAAAGAAATAATGGTAAAAGATGAAGAAAAAGAAACAACAGTAATAGATGAAGGAAAAGAAATAACGGTAAACGATGAAGAAAAAGAAACAATAGTAATGGATGAAGAAGAAAACTAAATAACGGCAAACGACACTCACTCCTCTTAGGTTTTTTTCATTCTCCCCTTTTTTCCAACAAGGCAACACATGTATATATAGGGAACAAATTAGGGTTAACACCAAATTGTCAATAATGTCCCTAAAGCCCATTTTAAAGCCCAAACTAAATAATTAGTTAAGAAAAAATAAAATTTAAATAATTTAAAATAATTAAAATAAACTTAAAATAAATACTAATAATCCTATTGATTCCTAAAATAAAAAATATTATAAAAAGAACAAAATTTTTTTCAATATTTTTTATTTTATGATTTTTTGGATATTTTTATGAATAATTTAGAAAAAAGTAAAAAAAATAATATTTTAAAAAATGATTTAATTAAAATACGAAAATAATAATTAAATAATAATAAAAAACTATTTTTGTTATTTTTTTAATGAAAGATAGAAAAATTTATAGTAAAAATAATAAAAAACAAAAAAAATGACAAAGGTGAGATTCGAACTCTCAACCTCTCACACTCATAACTCCTTACACATGTCCTCCTGCCAATTGTGCCATTTTTACTTTTTAGAAAAAAAATGCATGCCATATGATATTTACCTGCAAAAGTCAAACGACTACACAAATTTGTTAGTAATTGATTAAATGTAATGAAATGCGACGACAAATCTTAGGGCAAAATTTGGGGTATTACAGTTATTATGATAATATTTCTCACCCAACCTCTCTTTGATGTTGGCAAAAAAATCATGAAGTTTGACTTTGGTTTGACCACAGTTGACCTCAGTTTGACCTTTTAACTACATTGACTGCTTTTGACTTATCTGATCATCTGACTGAGCAAACTTTTGAGAAAAGTCTTGAAACTTGACATGGGGGTTCTTATACACATATAAGATGTTATGAAGCTCACTTGAAGTCTTGGAAGTCCATTTAGCCTGATTAAAGTCAAAACCCTAGTTTTGGATGCACTGCTTAGGAGGTGCATTGTCTGAGGGAATTGTCAACTCTTCTGACCAATTGTGAATTTTGTGAACCTTGTGAACCTTCTTGGAACACAAAGTCTTGTATTGTGAGGGCAAATTTTGGGGTGCAACACCAGGAAATAACACGGTAACTTTTTTGATGTCGTCACTAAAGTCAGTGTTGTCTTCTCTATCTTGTGATATCAAGTCTCTGGTCTGACCAAAGCTTTAGAGATGAAATAGACCGAGCTTTAGTGGTTGTTTGGTTCTCTCACAAGGATGATGCTAACGAATTCCCTGAATACTACAAGATAAAGGTAAAAGGCTCTCTGCTATAGGTCACGATAGCACTAGTGGAAATGATATGGCTATATTTAGAGACGTGAATGCTTGTTTGCAATCTGAGGTCCATTAAAAAAATGCTTCTTTCTTCAATAGCTTGTTAAAAGGGAGAGTTTGTTATGCTGACCTCGAAATGAACATGTATAAAGTTGTTAGCATCTCGTTCAACTTCATGACTTTCTTCTTTGTCGTTTGTAACGTCATCCAGATGACCACCTCACATTTATCCATGTTCACTTATATGCTACCTCTCCATCAAATAAAACCCCAAAAACTTGTTGACTCTCACTCGGAAGGTGCACTTTTCTAGATTGAGCCTCATATTGTACCATCAGACTCTTCGGATACACAGACAAGGTGTTAGTCATGTAGCACCTCCTCATGGATTTAACGATTATGTCATCCACTTACGCTTCTAGTGTTTTTCCTATTCCTTCTTTAAAGACTTTGTTCATCATCATCTGGTATGCTACTCAAGCCTTTTTCAAACCAAAAGGCATCACACTATACTAGTAGCTGACTTGCTCGGTCATGAAGGTAGTTTTCTTTCTGTCTGACTCACACATGGGTATTTGATTATAGTCGAAGTATGCATTCTTAAATGACAGTAGCTTGTATCCGACCGAATTATCGACCAACTTGTCTATGCTTGGGAATGGGTACAAGTCTATAGAACATGTCTTATTAAAGTCGATATAATTGATACACATTCTCCATTTTTCTGAAGTTTTCTTGATAATGACCACATTAGATAATCATTCAGTGTATTTTACTTCAAAAATAAAATTAGTGTCCAATAAATCTTAGATTATCTTCGATGACGCCGATGACGCCTCACCCTTCTCGGAAGACTACCATCTTCTCCTCTAAAATAGGTACCGAACATTAAAATCAATCTTAGATTGTCAGTAGACGTAATTGCCAAAAATACAATCACCACTCTTTTTCCTAGTTTATCTCTCTAGAGTCTAATTATTATTCTCATTAACACGAAGTAGGAGAAATGATGCAATTTCAAAAACAAAATTTATAGTTTACTTCATTCAAATAGCACAAAAGATGTGATTCAGACCTGCTAAAACAGAAACCAACATAGAAGGAGTCTCCCACAAATACACATGTTTACGAAGTCATAACAAACGAAGACTCTACAAATTAATCTCTTTTCAAAAATTATAACTTCATTAATTCAGTGTGCTCGAGACTCTACAAATTTTCTTCTGTCTTATTTAATTTTATTTGACAAAAAAGATAGTTGCGTTGTATATGCATTTTCAAACAGGTAGATACATCAAAACAAATGAAAATAATGCCACGTATATAGAAGAACTTACTATACGAATCAAATACACATAAAAAATATTAAAACATAAAAATAATAAAATTATACAGATAAAATATTTAAATAATTCATTGTTAAGTTAAATCAATTTGAATATTTAATTTATGATTTAATCTCGGCCGGTAATTCCTATCAACAATATATATTAATATTAAAAAAATATTGATAAACAATTTATTTTTAAAAAAATATTATATATTTTTTGAATATTATTTGGATATTCTCTTTTTCTTTTGAAAAACGATATATACTTTTTACACCACTATATATAGACTTATCTATATTATAAATATATTTAAATTAATTTATACTTTTTTTATTATTATAATAATAATAGATATGTTATTTTCAGATTTTTTGAAAAAATTTCTCGCCAATTAATTTTACATAAAAATTTATAATATCTTTTCCAAAATTAAAAATTAAAAATTAATCAAAATTTTTTTTAAAAAAGCAAAACTTTGCTAACTATCAGGCTTATCCAAGAAGTATCTTGCATATCAAGTAATCTATATATGAGCTGTTTATTTCTATATACATAACACATCATCTCTTTTTCTTTCTCCTTTCTCAAAACCTTCCCTTCCAAAATATTCTTCAATATTTTCTTTTCATAATCTTTCATCTTCCCTTTCATTTCTTTGAACTTTCCTTCCCTCTTTCATCTAAGATTCTCATCTTCTCAATTCACACAAATTTTCTATCACATATAAATATACACACCTAGTAGCTTCATCATATATAATTAACCATATTACATATTTATTTTAATAATCCATTATGGAAGAACTACCTATTGATTTACCTCCTGGTTTCAGATTCCACCCTAATGATGATGAAATCATTACTTCTTATTTGATTAACAAAGTTTTGAATACAGACTTTAGTGCAATTGCAATTGGTGAAGTTGATTTGAATAAGTGTGAGCCATGGGATTTACCTAGTAAGTTTTCTTTTATTGTAATTATCTGATTATCTCTTCGATTATCAGAATCGAAATAAACGGATTCTAGTAATCCAGAGTTCGTGTTTTTTGACCTAATGATATGAATACGATAATATTTTTTTGTAGAGAAAGCAAAGATGGGAGAGAAAGATTGGTATTTCTTTAGTGAAAGAGATAGGAAGTATCCAACAGGAAGAAGAACAAATAGAGCAACTGAATTAGGTTATTGGAAAGCTACTGGAAAAGATAAAGAAATCTATAAAGGGAAAAGTAAACAACTTGTTGGAATGAAGAAAACTCTTGTGTTCTATAAAGGTAGAGCTCCAAAGGGAGTGAAAACTAATTGGGTTATGCATGAGTTTAGATTGGATGGAAAATTAGCAACTTGTAACCTTCCTAAGGATGCTAAGGTATTACCCTTTTAATTTATATCTCTAATTACTACTTTTCTCTTGATTTTTGAAAGTAAAATTTTGATTCAATGTTTTATTGGGATTAACTAATTAGTTAAATGAAGTTCGAATTTTTTTTAGTCAGCGCGATTCGTTGTAATTTTAATCTAACCGATCTTACTTATGTAAAAAATTTTATAATTCAAAAATTATAACAATACTGTCAAAAATAATTTAAACTTATTTATAATTAATTTTAGCTTAATTTCAATCGTAATTTTAACATGTTCAATCTTGTTTATCTGCAAATTTTTGTTATTTTTAAATTACAACACTATAAAAAAATATTTTTAATTTTTATAATCAATTTTAGCTGAATTTAAGTAGCGGTTTTAACCTAATTATTTTTGTTTATCCTGCAAATTTTCGTAATTTTAAAATTAGAAAAAAAAAATAATTTCGAGAGTGTAACTGCAATTTATAAAGTTGATTTATAATTATGGTTTTTTTCATCTAATTTTTTTTTTTAAAAAGTGACTTTTGTGATGTTATATGAGTTTCTTTCTAATGTGGTCCTTTCTTTTTGCTTTCTATATAGTTCAATTTTTCAAAGATTCTACCTTACACTTTTTCTTTTCTTTTTTTATATGATTGAAGGATGAATGGGTGGTGTCAAGAATCTTCAACAAGAACAACAATGAAATCAAAAAAACATCATCAATTTCCAATCTTTTAAGGATAAACTCAATAAGTGATGATTTGGATTTTTCTTCACTTCCATCTCTAATGGATGATACTCCTTTTGAAATCAACAACACCATTGATCATCATCATCATGATGAAAATTTCAAAGGAACCAATTCATCATCAAATGGTTACTATTTTCCAAGCTACTTAATCAACAATGAAATAAATCTGACAAACCAAGAGAATTTGAATATTCCAAAAACACCCTTCAAACACAACATGTTATCAAATGATTCTTATATGAATCATCAATGGAACAAAGAGTGCAAGATGGAACAACAATTCTCTACCAACAATTCTTTGTTAAGTGTTTCACAAGACACATGTTTGAGTAATGAAATGAATAATGACATATCTTCTGTGGTCTCAAAGCAAGAAATTATGGGAAGGAATGCAACTTTGTATGAAGATTTTGAATATTTGATGAATGGCTATTGAAGAAATAATATTCTAGATATGAATCATGCACATATCATATAATTCTTTAGATTTTAGAGGTTATTGGTTATGCATATATTGTATAGATTTATGAATATTATTAAGGTATTTTAAAAGTTATATAGGTTTTTAATTTATAATTATAGGAGAAAGGTTTGATCTGATATTTGTACATTTTCCTTTTAATATTAGCTATTGTGAGTTTGTTTTATAAATTCGTTTTCTTTTATGTAATTTTTAACAACCGTTGCTTTTGTGTAACTTATAAAAATTGTTTGTAAATAATGAATATTATAGTTAAGAGTATTTATATATAATAATATGATTTTTTTTCTTGTGGATATTGATCCAACTTTTAAGAAAATCTTAAATACTTTTAAAATTAACCCGTTTGCACGACCAATTATTTATTATGATTAATCTAAATTGACCTAAGAAGATAATGTGATGTTGGAGGAATCTTTTTATGTTGCGGAAATCCAAAAAGTTACTTGTGGTAGTGACGGGAACAAAAGTTCAGGTCTATATGGTTTTAATTTGGAGTTTTTGAAGCGTTGTTTGAGGTGGTTGTAGTGGATAAGAGGTGGGGTATTCACTAGTTATTTGTCAGTCTTGGTTAATGGGAGTACAACGAAAGACTTCAAGATGTCAAGGGGTCTAAGACAAGGTCATCCCTTGTCTTCTTTCTTGTTCTTTATATTGGTGGAATGTCTTGCTTCTGTGGTAAGGAGGGCGTTTAGAACGAATATTTTGTGTGGATTTAAACTAAACGGAAATATCTCTTATAGTTTACTACAATTTGCTGACAACACAATACTTGTTTATGATAGTACATGGTCAAATATATGAGGGATCAAATCTATTTTAAGAGGATTTGAAATGATTTCTGGTCTGAAAATTAATTTTTGGAAGAGTTGCTTATGTTAAGAAACGTGGTTGGGCCTAACTCAGCCCTACAAAACCGGTTTGTAGAGTGAGGATTACCCCCACTTATAAACACATGTGCATGCCATATATTGTCCGATGTGGGACTCTTGACACACCCCCTCACGCTCAGGACTGGACAACTGAAGCGTGGAAATAAATGGTGGGTGACCCGATAGCGGAAACCATAGAAGGTGGCCCACCGGATCTTAAACGAGGCTCTGATACCATGTTAAGAAACGTGGTTGGGCCTAACTCAGCCCTACAAAACCGGTTTGTAAAGTGAGGATTACCCCCACTTATAAACACATGTGCATGCCATATATTGTCCGATGTGGGACTCTTGACACACCCCCTCACGCTCAGGACTGGACAACTGAAGCGTGGAAATAAATGGTGGGTGGCCCGATAGCGGAAACCATAGAAGGTGGCCCACCGGATCTTAAACGAGGCTCTGATACCATGTTAAGAAACGTGGTTGGGCCTAACTCAGCCCTACAAAACCGGTTTGTAGAGTGAGGATTACCCCCACTTATAAACACATGTGCATGCCATATATTGTCCGATGTGGGACTCTTAACAACTTATATGGGGTGGGGATTGAGAAACCTTTCATGAAGGTATCTGCATAGTTCTTGGCTTGTAAGAGTGAATTGTTACCTTTCAAATTTAATGGCATAACAATAGGAGGTAACCACAGGCGTGTATCTTTCTGGAAATCAGTTCTAGCATGCTTCAGATCATGTTTATCATCATAGAATGGTAGGATGTTATCCTTTAGGGAAAGGGTTACACTAATCAACCTATTCACCATCTTTCGTTCTTTAAAGCTGCAGTCAAAGTGGTAAAGGAAATAATATCAATTCAGGGGAAGTTTTTGTGGTCCAGATCGATAGATAAAAGAAGTATGGCTTCGGGAAGTTGAAAATATGTGTGTAAGCCTATGGAATTTGAAGTGGTTGGGATCAAAGGCGTTGGTCTGTTTAATAAAGCCTTGTTAACAAAAATGATTATGGAGATTCATTAAGGATTCAAATGTGTTTCGGAGGGGAATTCTTGAGTTCAGGTATGAGAGTATTGTTAGAAGAATCTTGTACAAGGATGTGCCAAGGGTTTTAAGCAATGAATCACTTTGGTGGAGGGATGTGATGGAGTTAGGTGACTCTATGGAGGATAAGGGCTTTATCAAGCAATTATCGTGAAAAATGAGTGATGTATATGTTGCTCCATTTTGGAACTTTATATGGCTTGGTATGTCCACTTTAGAAAATATTTTCCCTAGCCTTTGTGAAGCTTCTGATAAGAAATAAGGGGTGGTCAGAGACATGGGGGAGTGAGCTGGAGAAGTGTGGCATTGCGATCTTGGCTTTAACAATATGGAGATTATCAGTAGTATGGGGGCAAAATACTACGACTTAATGCTTTTGTTGTCTGAAGTCAGGTCTAACATAGAGATCTCTGATTCTTTCATGTGGCCTCATGGTCCTCTTAATTATTTCTCTGTAAAATCATGTTATGATAGACTGTTGCAGGCTGGTGGTCAAGACGAGTTGGAGAGTGCCCCCAAAACAACATTGGATATATTGTGGCAAACATTCCTATGAAAGTTAAGATTTTTGGAAGGAGATTGATAATAGATAGGTTGTCGACTCGTTACAATCTTGCTGTCAGATGAGTGATAACCAATATCCATGACAAGGGATGCGTTTTTTACTTTAATGTCGATGAAGACATTGATCATGTTTTTATCTCTTGCCCTCGTATCCGATTGGTTTGGAAGTTGGTAGAGATTGGGTTGGGATACTGTGGATTGCTGAAGAGAACTGTTGTGATCACATTTTGCCTTGGTTTGTTAGATTAATAGGGAAAGGTTCTAAATCATCTACGTGTTTGATTTGGTTTGCTACCTACTGGTGTATTTGGTGGACAAGGAACCAGGTTATTTTCAATGACAATGTTAGTAATCCTGCATAATTACTCAAAGAATAATTCATTTTTCTTGGTGACAGTTAGCTTTAAACTCTTCTCATAAATTAAAGTGTAACTATTTATATATGACTATTTGTAAGAGGATTGATTTTTTATGGATGGTTTACATGCCTAAGAGGATTGATTTTTTTGTAGGAGTTGATTGACTTGCAAGTTGTATATTGGTTTGGAGTATCTTTAATACTCCTTGTTAAATATAATGTTGCCTATAAAAAAACTGTGAGAAAATATAACAATTTTTTTTTATATGATTTTTATTTGTTAAGCTATAATATAACAAATATATATTTTTAAACGACTAAACCGTGACTAAATTAAAATTCCTACCCATAACTCCAAAAATTTAAAATCATTAATTGAAGTGGTTTACATGGCCTTGTATGTGTTTCCTCAAACCTAATTATTTTTTCATTATTTATTTTTTAATGAATTACACATATTTTATGTAGTGGAATATATTAATGTGTGACATCTCACCAAGAGATGGAAGCATTAGTTCCCAAGAAATTTAAGCATTAGTTTTTTCAACTTTGGAATTTAAAGATTGTGTCTATCTTGGTAGTGCCTCCCACCAAAGCATGACTATTGTTCCTTTTATATATATATATATATATATATATATATATATATATATATATATATATATATATATATATATATATATATATATATATATATATATATATATATATATATATATATATATATATATATATATATATATATATATATATATATATATATATATATATATATATATATATATATATATATATATATATATATATATATATATATATATATATATATATATATATATATATATATATATATATATATATATATATATATATATATATATATATATATATATATATATATATATATATATATATATATATATATATATATTGTCTAGAATTATTAAATTGAAATATATTAAGCAAATGAGTGAACCACGTGAAGAACTTCCTGGATATCTGCAGAAAAGATGCCTCTAACAGAGAATTTTAGAATCATAAAATGTGAGGAGTGCATAACTAGTCTCATATTAATAGTTAAAATATTGTATTTTTTTTTAATGAAATTTGTTTGTTTTATGAGAAAAAAACTTATAGTGACGAAATTACAAAAACAGAAAACTATATGAATGTTTATGATTAAAGAAAGTCACATGCATCACAATTCAAGCTGTTTTGCATTAATCTGTGTGCTTTCTCTTTTAAATTGATTATGGGATGAAACAAACAATGCATTGATTCAAATGATAAAGGATTTGAGCTTTTAAACAAATTGTCGGTAAATTCGATTATTGACTTCCAATATGAAAACAAATAGATGGGAAGATGAGCACCCATTGAAAACTCCGTATCTATAAATAATATTATATTATTAATAATAGTAATAATAATACTAATATTTTTTGTTTATGTGATAATTAAGTGGTTAAATTATACTTAAAAATAAATGAGTTGTTAATCTTCAAATTTAAGGTCACTCGATATTCCTTTAACTTGTTGAAATTCACATTAAACCTCCATTAAAGCATAAGAATTGAAGAAGATGAAGAAGAATTATAGAGAAAAAAAAAAGAGAATGAAAACATAACTAATTTTCTCTTAAACTTAGAATTGTAATTCGGTCACAAATATAACTACTTTCGGGTAAATGAAAATGAAACTCAAAACTAAATCAATCTTGAATGTTGAATTACATTCAACACCATCTCTTAATTCATATTCAAGATTAAAAATCAACAATGCCAATTCCATCCCTCAAATTGATGAAGTGTTCATTTTTTTATCGTCTTGGTCAATACATCTGCAAATTGCTTTTGAGCGCTGACATGAACAACCTCAAGTACTTCATTTTGAACTTGATTGTGCAGAAAATGGTACTTAGTATCAATGTGCTTACTTTTTTCATGCAACATTGTACTCTTAGCAAGAGTATGGAAAATTTGTTATCAATCATTAATCTAACTGGTTTGCCCACCTTGAACTTCAGTTCCTGCAACAAATTCATCATCCAAACAGTCTGACAAGCTGACAAAGCACCAGCTATGTATTCAGTATTGTAGGTTGACA